TTTCCGGAGGCACCGTCACCGGTCCCGCTTATTTCGGGCACCAGCCGCGGGCTACCATCGTCCCTCGGACATCGTCGACTGCCCGTCGCTCTAGCAGGTCCCGCTCGACAAACAAGACCACCCGGACCGCCGCGCGTCTGCTGCCGCCATCCCCAACGCCGGCATCAGCGTTTTCGTCGACTGCTCTTGCGCCACCGGTGTCTTCGCCGTTAGCGGCGCGCCCTGCATCCCCGACTTCGCCTTCTCTACAGGTTTCGCCCGGGACTTCGCCACTCACGATGTCCCCTTCGCGGACATCACACCGGACTGCGGCTGCCCCAGTCGCTGAGGCTTCGCCTTCTTCCGCCTCTTCCGTTGGATCGCCTGATTTCTTTTCGGAATCTTCTGATTTGGACACCTCCCACTTGCGGGCTTGTGTTCAGAGTTTCAGCACTGTGGACTGGGCTAGGGAACAGCAGCGGGAGAGCGAGTGTGTGGTGGCTATGCGTTTTTTGTCTTGCGGTTCTCCCTCCCCACCCCCTCCGGGCTTGCCCGCTCTCTGTGCTCCTCTTCGCTCCCCTCGGTTAGATGATGTGCTTGTGTTGGCGGCGAAAACCAGACTGCACACGACCGATGACAACATCACCCTCCTCGTACATAAATCGGCGACGTCGCCAGTTGGGCGCTCTGGCGGAAGGACCACTCGTCTGCCGGATACTGGCGTGCCCCGTGTCTACGTGCCAATGCTGATGCGTCCGTGGGTCCTTCATGCATGCCACACGGCCGCGTCGTTCCATCTCGGCGTCCATCGTACACAGCGTCTGCTCGAGCGCTTCTACTGGTGGATTGGTTTGGATCGTTCCGTGCGCTGGTGGCTTCGGGCGTGTTTGGTGTGTCAAGCTCGCAAGACTTCACGCTAGACTGCTCAGTGGCCCGTCATCGCTATGCCATTGCCGCAGGGGCCTATTACGGTCATCGGCGTCGACTTCTTCGGACCTCTGCCAATGACTGTCAAGGGCAACTCCTACATATTGTTGTTCACAGACAGTCTCAGTCGAAGAGCCGACATGTTCGCAATTACAGCGGCGGAATTTACGGCGAGAGGGACGGCTCACATCTTCGTCAACCAATAAAGATCAAGTGGGGATGTCCGACTACGTTATTGTCGGACAACGGACTGCATTTCTGCTCGAAGCTCTCCATGGCGATCTACGAGGTGATGAAGATCAAGAAGGTCACCACCAGCTCCTACCACCCACAGACCAACGGCGGCACTGGACGCGTCAACCACACGATGGCCCAGATGCTTGCGGTGGTCATCAACGAACAGAAAAACGATTGGGACATACATCTCCCGAACGTTGAGTTTGCCCACAACAATTCCGTGAACCAGTCTACTGGATTAGCGCCAAACGAGATCCACATCGGACGCATCCCGCGACTCCCGCTTTCGGTCTTCGATC